TTACAAAGAAAAAGAAATACCTTAAAGGAAAACATAATAATGTTCTACGCATCAGTATTTTTTCTTTTTTTTAATTGGATATTTTATTTATTTACATTTCTGGTGCCATCCCCTTTCCTCATTTCTTCTCCCTAGAAACCCCTATCCTGTCCCCCTCCTTCTTTTTGCATTTATACCATTTTAATTACATGCAAGTATTAAAATTCTCAAAAATAATGATTTTTCAAAACACATTCATATATAAGCTCTGTTCCTTTATACAATATCATTCAAATTATATGGATTCCATCATATAGAACTTCAAAAATCTAGGAAAACAGGTCACAAAGGGCTATCATTGGTCAGTTCCCTATGACTAGAAGCCTTTAATTTTTGTACTATTTAATATTTCATTTGTGACATATTACAATCTCATCAAAAATTAAGATGACCAAACATATATCCCAAGGATGTGTCTAATAAGTGTTATGAAATTAGTAGATAGACCACTTTCTGTATTTACAATATCAAAAACTGTATGCTGAATGATTCCTTTTCCTTGTTCCATTATGGATAAAACAGAAGTGTTCCAGAGAAAATGAAAAAAGAGTGAAATACAATACAACTCATTTAACTTATTTTATCTTTTCTTTTCTGTGTGTATGAATGTATAATATATGAGAGTGTGTGAATATATAGTTTATGTGTATACATCCACAATGTGTATATATGTGCATGTACATGTATGCTGTGATGTGTAAACATGCTTATGGCAGACAGGAGTTAACATTAGGTGTATTTTATTATCACTATTTACCTTCTGAATTAGTCTTCCATTTGAACTCAAAACTCACTGCTTTGTTAGACTGGTTATCCAATGAATTCTGGAGACCAATCTCTCTACATGATGACTAATATTATAGATAAAAAATAACACCAGAATTTTTACTTAACATGCCAAGGAAGTGAACCCAGGCCCTCAAGCTTACATGTACTTTCCAAACCTATATTAAACCTCATTCCTTTTTACTTTTTATTTTAGTAAGGTTTTGATTTATCAAGATGTCCAAATGGATTTTGTAAAGTGTAGACATTCTAAGACTTCATTGTCCATTTTTCCTCGTTCTCTATGAATACTAAGCATCTACTGACAATGCCAAAACTGTAAGCCTCTTCAGACTGAGATGTTCTACAGGCAGGAATTATTCTGTGTAGCAACATGATAAGAAATATACAATTATTTATCCTCTCTCTTTCATATGGTACCTGTATCAATCAGAATAAAATCCTTATGAAAGAAAGGATTTCAATAGGCAAGTAACAATCTGGCTGAAAACAGTTTTAGTAGTTATTAATATTCTGCTGTGCTTACAAACTTTTTAGGGCCAAAAACCATTAGAAGATGGCATTGTTTTCCCTACTCTCTGTGAGAAGCAACTGTTTGCTGCTCACCACAGTCAGAGGCACAATAAGTTTGTTGAAACATTGGCAAGTCTTAGACAAATGTCTATTGGTTAAAGCTCAAAGTTGCTCCAGAAAAGCTGTGTTTGAGACAAAAAAAAAAAAGACTACAACTATAATGCGGATTGTAAATTAAGTATAATTTTTATACTACAAATGCTTAATGCATATGGGCGCCTAAAACAGGAAGTGGCAGTATTTACCAAGAGGGAAATAAAACAAGCTTCTGGACTCCAGAGTGACATGTTTCTACGTTGTCTGAACATGTACAAACAGCACATTTCTCTGTTCCTGATGGCTCATGTTAAGATATTTGGCTAGAAGTGGTAGCTTTGTTACATCTTTCATGTTAAAACCATTTTCCCTAGTTAAACTGTATTTTAGAGGTACATAAAAGTTGTGATGCTATTGAAGAACATTGTATGTTATTCTTACTTATCATTGTTTTCTTAAAAAAAAAAGACAGGGTGCTTTCTTCAAGGACTGGAGAGGCACAAAATACTAAAAGAAAACATTCCTAAGAATGCAGAATTTTCAGCACTAAAGGTGAGAAAATTACTAGGTTGTTAAAAAATTGTATAGTTTAAATTAGAAGAGAAAATGGAAATAATCAAGGTTTTAAACAGGATGACTAATGAGTTAACATTGGCATATTCATAAAATGCAACAATATAGGAGTAGAAGGAAACAAGTAGAGATTCATGTATCAGAGCAGTAAATTTCAATAATGATATTAAATAGATTTAAAAAGAGAAAAATATAGTTTAATACCATTTCTATACATATTATGGAGATAATAGGTACATAAGTGATAGATAGATAGATAGATAGATAGAGGTAGATAGATAAAAAGCCATATGTATATATAGTGGGGGAGTGGGTTCTGAAGTAGCCTTCCTGACCTGAAAGTCATTTATTGCTAGGATAACTTTGAACTTCTGGTCCATCTCCACAGTGATTATATTATGGGTATGCAGCACCGCCCCCACCCCCCATCTTTGGAGTACTAGGATTGAAACCAAAGCTTCCTGCATCCTATATTAGCATGTCACCTATTGTACTCTATTCCCACCCTCACTATTCCTAAATAGATGAAATATAATCAAATAAAAATCAAAGTAATACAATATAATATTTAAGGACATAAATGCTAATAAAATTCATAAAATTCATGTATGGAGATAATACATTAATAAAATCAACATTTTTCCTAGTAATGAACTGGTACAAATGTTTTAAAATAAAAACTTCGATTTTGAATTATGTCTGTAATATTTCATTCCTCTCAAAACTGCTCAAGTGGAGACTGGACAGAAGGCTCATTCCTTAACAGTGCTTGATGCTCTTATAACAGTTAGGTGTTTACTTCCCCCATCAGGAAGCTCACAACCATCTGTAACTCCAGATCCATGGTTTCTGAAACTCTTTCATGGCCTTTGTGAGTACAAGTACATCCATACAGGCACATATATACACATACATATAAAAATAATTTTAATAATTATAAAAAATGAAAAATCTAAATATTGCATATACTTGGAACATACAAAGTGAATAAGGGCCATGGATATATATGTTCAAGATCTTTCAAGTGTGATTAAGCTAGCCAGAAAAGGAACATTCAACTGGTGACTCTCAAAGGTGATGGACTGAGATGGCAGCATCTCTGGGCCTATCTTTAGAATGGTTGTAGGGGAAAAACAAGAGTTCCTCTACCACTTTCCTTTCTACAACCTCCTCCAAATAGGAGAGAAAAGACTGTGTTCCCCAGCATTGATATTTTGGGTGTCAAAGACCCTGAGTATGGTTATACCTTAACACCTTGTGTTAAGTTTTCTATAAACCAGAAAATTGTTGACATAATTGTTTCCAGTTAAAGTATACATAGAAGTGTGTTTGCTTACAGCTAATAGGATCTTCACCATTCTTTCTTTAAGATAATAATGCTCAGTTATCTCAATTTTCATGGAACTGTTTTTCAGCATTCCAGTGATAGGAGCTGAAGCTCCCAGATCACAAGGCTAAGGTCAGTGTTTATGCAAAGGCTGCTTGAAACTCATCTCAGTGTCCAGTAGAGGCAGAGTGAGAAGCTGAGATCAAAGGTCATTTGGAATCTCTGATTTTAAATTAATATGTGTGCTCACTAATGAGAGAGAGAGAGAGAGTTACTGGTTCCTTGTTTTGTTAACGTCTGACAGGTTTCTGGCAGCTTCCACTAAACACAAAATAAGTTGATCTATGGAAAAGCAAGTGAGTTCCCAGATGTATGCTAGAAGCTAAAGAACCAAGACCTGTAATGGAAAGCCCCAAGGAAGCAATCAAAACAGCTTTTCTGATTTAGATCTAAAGCTTTTACGAGCCAACCATGGGCTCACAACCCACCCCACAGCCACTTGTCTCTACTCATCCTCCAGCTCCTGCATTTTAAAAATTGCTTTTAAACATTTCTCTTCTATGCTAGGGAACCACCTTGTCTCATTTCTAATCTACATCACCAATCACTCTGCAGTACTTGTGTTATCAATGTGGCAACAGCAACCAAGGAGAGAAGGAGATGTGGAAGGTCAGAAAATCTGGGAGCTCTTATATTCCTAAATAGCTCAACCAGAAATCCCAATTAGAAAACCGTGCAGGTCAGTCATCCAACCTTGCAGAAGATATTGAATCACACAATTCAACCTTTCTTTGACTCTTCCTCATGAAGTGAAGAAAAAGTCATTAGGCATCAGGTTAGGTCGTTGCCAAGTTTTCAATGAGGAAAATCCTTTCTCTATGGCTTCTGTTTTTCAACACCTTAAAGGCATTCTTCGAAAACGAAAACCTGATTTAAATGCCTGTAATTTGAGAGGAAGTGAAAGAGAAGGGGTAAGTATTTAGGGATGCTTTTAGGGAGGCTGGGATGCTCTGAATGCATGGATTGAAAGGAGAGAGAGAGAGAGAGAGAGAGAGAGAGAGAGAGAGAGAGAGAGAGAGAGAGAGAGGAAATTTTTTTTCCCTTTGCCTCCCCAGCACGTAGATAAAGCATACCACAGCAGAACCTCTGCTGGGGACATCCTACCGACCAAGGACCCGCCCAGGCCACTTTTATGGACCAGTGTGGAACTGGCTCTGCCGGGGGCGGTGCTGCGCACACGTCTCCTATAAAGAGCTGTCCGCTACCCTTGTGCTGAATCCAGCTCTCATTCCCGAATGAGGTGCTTTTAGCTATTGGCAACGCGGAGCTCTAAGAGCTGCCCTGGAGTTTGGATGTGAACCTTAAAAAAAGAGAATTCGAAGGAAGACGAGGCAGGCGAGGAAGACAAGCACTGAAAGGGACAGTTGCAGGAACTATAAACCTCGATCGCAGCTCCCGTCTCAGTGGAAGCCCTGCTGTGTTTTCAGTGGAGGATCTGAGGATCAGGATGGAGTGAAGGAGAAGAGGAACTCAAGGGGGTGGGAGGGGGTCAGGCTGTGCACAGGAGAGGGAACACTGAAATAGAGAGAAAGGAAAAGAGAGAAAAGCCAACGCTCGTGCCTGTGAATTTGGAATTCTATTGGAAGAGATCGCTCACTCAGGGGAAATGGATTCTGTACCAAGACTGAACAGCGTTTTGACTTTAATGCTCTCTGGCTTGTGGCATTTAGGATTAACAGCGACAAACTGTGAGTACTTGGAGCTGGGAGCGGGAAGGTGAGGTGGGATAGGACACTCCCCAGTATAACTCTCCACTGTGGGCTGTATATGCTCTGGGTAAAAGAAAAGAGCAGCGTGAAAACCAGTGTGGTTCAACTATTCCAAGCATCCCAAAAGTTAGCAGAGCTCTAATGAGCTTGCTGTGCCAGATTGCCTGCCCTTCTTTTGAATCATAAAGTTCCCTTAATCATAAAGTTGCTGCTATCTTCATGGTTCTTAATCTCAGGCAGGAATACATGGGCCAGGAACAAGCCTCTAGGGGCAGAGCCACCGAGCGAGGTGTTAACAGCAGACTGCAGCTCCCACAGATTTGCAATGTGCCCGGAACACTTCTACCCTAACTTCCACCTTAAGCACCAAGCTCTCTACTACTGTAGGCATAAGGTTTCAGCTGGGAGCATTTTGTAACCAGTGAGTACCCATCTAAAGGGTTTGCGAGCTTGGGTCTTAGAATTGTAGCCCAAATGTAATTGCCCCAGGAAATCAATGGCTGTTCTATTACAGCAGGGTGCTTTAAAAAAAATTATACTCATCCTCAAAATGCTGGTGCCCATGAAGGAATGAGTATATACTCTGTTATCGACATTTTCACCCTAGCAAGCGTAGAACACTGAATTTAATAGGCAGGAATTCTTGACTCCGAGAAATCTGCCACCTGCACTATTTATTTAAAGAATCTAGTTTGTCAAACTTGAATAATTCACTAAAGCTGTGAGAGGTTCAAGCTCAATTGCTCAGCTGCTTCTGAAGAGGCAGAGGAAGGGAAGTTTTTCCTTCTCTGGGAACTCCTAAATGAGAAAGGATGCAATTAAGCCATCTGTGTTGTTTGCAAGGATGGCTTACTAACTGTCCCTCAAGTTTCTGGGTTTGTTCTCTCATCTTCTATTCCTACACTGAAACACAGAAATATACAGATTAGAACAATTCTATTTTACTTTTGTAATCTGTACTATCAGTATCAATTAAAAAAAAAAGGTGAGCTGATTTACTAGAGAAGAACCTTTTGCCTTATTGCTTAATCTTTACAGTATCTTGTTACAGAACTTGCATTCTAGAGGAAACACAAGTGAATAGATGTTCAAAGTACAATCAGTGTTTCTGTGATCCAAGGACTGGAAAGCTCACAACCCATAGGTGTAATAGTTTCTTATAGTTTTTGTTATAAAGAAAGGCCAAAGTGGCTACCCTCTCCATCAGGTTGGGATAAGCTAGTAAATTATGTTAAAGGATATATTGAGTCAAGTTTAATTCAGGTAAATTGATTTTTCTCTTCTGCCTTCTCCCCCTTCTTTTTGGCTCCCGTTTTCTCCTCTTCTTCTCCCCTTCTCTTTGAATATATTCCCATGGTGCCCCGAAGAAAGACCAAGAGCCTTAGGAAGTGAGCTTTGTTACTAAGCTAGTTTCTCAACCTTCAGGAACACTAGAGGTCAGTATTTTCCAATTGATTCAAAGGTGTGGCTCTGAACTGTGCTTTCTCTTTATCATATTCCATTATCTGAAAAGAAGGAATACTTTGAAGATCCAAAAGTTGGGTGTGAGAGAAGCTGATTAAATGAGTAGATTATACAGCATGAGTGAATATCTTAAGGTTCTTGAAAATTCCTTCTTGAAGCCATATTTTCCCTAAATTAATTTAACTATGGTCAATATATTTTAATAATGTACATAAAACTAAATGGCATGTGTTCAAGACTTCAGCCTATCATAGCCACAGCAGTTACAAAGCCAGCTCTGGGCATTTAAAAAGTGGTGGTAATGAACTTGAGAATTTCCTAAGTGACAGTTTCATCTCCCATTTCCAAGCAACGTGGCAATTTAGTGAGTGCTGCTTGCTAAGTATTCTAGAGGCAGTTTTATTAAGGAATAGCAGTGGGTGTTTATTGTACTGTAAAAACTGTACACATTCAGTAAACAATAGGCTTTCAGCAGATACTGATTCTGAAATCAATGCATATTAGTGTTCTTCGGCGCCTATAAGGTAGTGATCCTCAAGCAATCGTGAATATCTTCCAGATTCTCTAGGCTGACATGCACAATTTTTATTCATCAAGTGTAGTATTGGATTTGCTATGGATGTACTATGGGCTCACATTAATATACATACTTTGATGAGTTAGAAAATTCCTTTCCAAGAGTTTCCTTTTAATTTGATTTGTGAGATTGCTGTTTATGATTATTTTCCCTACATTTTAAGGAGTTTCCCATGTCATTAGTCATGAAAACCTTAAAGATAGATTGTTTGCCCAAGTTCTTCCATGATAGGAAGAGAGTTAAAGGTATTGATATATAGGTGTGGTATTTCTTAAAAAATAACTTCTTATTCTCTTCCCTCTTTTATAGTGACTTGCTGTTGTTGCTATTGTTGTGTAGTGTACACCTATTTGTATACATGTTTGATTCTCTCATACTCTAGCTCAAATATGGGCATTTACCTACATGGGGAAAATGAATGCTTATGCAGTTACAAATTTTATAAGTTTCTAATTAAGCACAATGAAAACAAAGTCAGGTTAAAAGTATTCCAGCTATAATTACAGATACTGCAAATCTATGGCGAGGGTGCAATTATCTACTAGTAATAAGAACCTCTGGAAATATCACCGTTTTAGATTATCAGGATATTAAAATGCTACAATGTTTCCTTTGGGTATATTCTGACAGGACTGGTTAATTTTGAATACATACATACATACATGAATACATGCATACATTACATACATACGTACATACACACATACATACACACACATATATATACATATATATATGTATATATTTCATTGTAAAAAATTTAAAAATATTATATATTCAACTCCTTTGACACAGGAAACTATGGTATGACTTGGGAATTTGATTAAATGAGGCCAGAAGTCAGCATCTAAGTGTTTTCTTCCCAGTGAAGTCTCAGACCAGAGGTCAAATACGTATTTAACTATTGCCTTTTCTAGCCTGCCAGTAAAATACAGGAAGCTATTGAGATCTGTTTCTACTCCAAGTTGAACAGCAGCTAAATATCCTACTAAGGGTATTCATCTAAAATTAGGCAACATAAATTTTTGTAATGACAGAAGTAAGGTGTCATAAAACAGGCAGATTGCATATGACACAGAGAGAAATGTTGTTAATTTCATTTTAAAAAAAACATATTACATGAAGTAATTTTAAATTTTAAAATAGCTTTAATTTCTCTGAAATAACTTAGAATAGTCACTAAGTACCTCTTTGAATTTATTGCTACCCATTATTAGAGTCTCAGAGACATGTTATTGTGATGAGAATATAAAACTCCATGTTCTAGACTTTTCTCCCATGCTGAATTTCACAAGATCCTTGAGAAGTTGATCATGATTGTAAAGAGATATCAGACCTTGAATTATCTGAAGGCTGTTAACAACCAAATGGAAGACTAATATAAGCAATGAATGTGCTGTTCTTGTTGAGCAGGAGAATGACTCTGCAGTGTTTTCTGTGGCATCTCCAGCTACCAGAAGTGAGTGACCTCTTTACTGGTCAGTTGGAAGAGTCTGGAAACTTTCTCCATTTTCAAACTAGCTCATTTTGACCTTTAATGTTTGACATGAAATCACTTTCCATTTCCTTCACATAAGCCCCATATTACATTGCAGCTATAAAATATAAATGAAGAACTAGAGCAGGGATTTCACTGTAAAGGAGCAGACATGGGAGAAGATTAATATCTACTGGAGCAGCTCTGCTCTCACCTGTATTCTACCTCTAAGGAATGTCCATCTTTCCAGCTATATATAGCCTTCCTTTTTCCTTCCCCATCTGTCCAACTGGCCTCAGTTTCTTTGAGTGAATCACTTTACTTTCTTGTACTGATTTATCATATAATGATAGGATTTGAAGCATCTCTAAATTTTGTAGTTTTGAGGTCTTTCAGTTGATAATCCAGTTTGTGACAAAATAAGACCTGTGGTTGATAATCACAACAGATAAGAAGATGGGGAGTGTGTGTAGTTACCTAATAAGGCAGAAGAAAATAGCATTTTACAATTTGGAGAAGTTGCATTGTACTAATTTGGAAACAATGAAGACTTTTTTACTTCCAAAAGAAACCATTTTATCCATTTAAGTACTTCCATAGTTGCCTAGTGACCTTACAAAAGTTGCTCACTTTCCCAAATAATCTTGGTTTTGCTGAATAAAGGCCTAGGTTTAGGTAGGAAGGCAATGCTTACTTATAATGGGTTCTCATTGTTAACCACAGATGCCTCTTACTGATTATTTCATATCTATGTTTTTGAAATCAATGCACTTCAAAACTTGGAAATATGTATACTCAGAGTAAGAATTTAATGAAATTTTAATTCCTACTAGTAAACATGCACCACCTCCCTCATCCCACACACTTATATTTTCCAAGGCTGCTCAGCAAGATAGATCAAGTGATCTAGTTCATATGAATGAATTCAAGATGTGTAGAATGTAAACATGTCCCCCAAATCACTAAATTAAGCAATGACAAAATTCTGGTTCTTGACCCAGGTGCATTTTTAAACACAAGTATCTTATTAACGAAGTATTTTCCAATGTATGTCACTATGTAATTTGTATAGTATATGCAGGAATTTGGCAAGGCTTCTCTAAGATCAGTATCATTAACGTAGCCTTGGAGAAGGGCATGAGCTAGAAGTTTTCCAAAAACCCAACACCTGAGTCACACTTGAAAAAAGAAAACGACAAAAATATTCAGACCAAGACTTGAAGTATGAGTGTAAAAATCATATTGTTCAAAGAAAAGCAAGTTTATATCTGGGATTGTTCACAGGTTGAGGATTTATTTTCTTTCATACTTTTTAGTTAAATGTTTGATAAGGGATGAAGAAACTTTGAGAAGCTATTTAGAATATCTTGTAGTGAATACACAAGTACAAGACAATTCTAGAAAGGGCTCTTCTGCTGACATTCTGTCCCATAAGTTTGTCAATATCAGACCATTATTCTG